GAGAGGAACCGTGGGAGCGGGGAGAGCGGCAACAGTGTCCCTGTAGGTCGGGGCACTATTGTGTTCCTCTGCTCCATTTTCCGCACTGGTCCGCCCACGGTGGGTGTTGGCTACCGCGACGTCGTCATCTGGAAGACTGGGTTCCTGTGTTCCTGTTGGGGTGCCGGCAATGACGTGAACGGCGTCAGACAGGACCACTTGTTGGCGAGGAGGAGTGGCATCCAAAGGTGGAGTTCGTTGGTAGGGATTGGACCGACCCTTTGGTGGCGTCAGTTCCGTTTGCATCAGGACAGAGGGAGACGGGCGCGAATCGTGTGCCTTGGCACCTTTTGGATTCTCTGGAGTCGATGCAGGGCGCTTCTTAGACTTGGACTGAGCTTTGGCTATTTTCGACTCTCGTTCTAGTCGCTCGAATTCCTCCACAATGGGAGGAATGATTGCAGGGCCAGTCCAAGGATGAGCAAGAATTCGGCTGCCGCTAGCCACATCCACGTCAACGGCTCGGCGCGTTGAACAATTAATGTCGGGTCAAACACGAGCGAAAATTCCCAAAAGCGAGGCGACTTTTCGTCCGTAGTGATAACGCGTTGGGCCGTTGTAAGATCGAACACAACCGTGGGGCACTGTGTCGCGAGACGAAGAAAGTACTCGCGAAGAGCCCAGGAACCTTCGTCGTCGTCGGCATCTTCAAGATCTCCAAGGGAGGACAGATTCTGCATGCTGGACCGAAGCTGTGGCATCGAACCACCGAGTGATGGGTCGTACGCCTTCAGGCCAGTCAGGATGAACGCAGCGATGTCGTCGTAGGTTTGGGCGTCGGAAGATGGATCCATGTTGACATCGGCCCACTAGCCAGGGCATTTGGAGATTGCCCGACCAGAGTATTCCGCCGTGCGAGAGGACCAAGTAATAAATGCCTGGTTTCCGAAAACTTCTTTCCTCCACGCCTTCTTGTAGAGCCTGTGGAACTTGGACACCTTGAGGTTCTTGTTGTAGGCAACGAGAGGCCGTCCTTGCACTGCGCCATCCTCGGCGGTTGTGGAAGGGGGGGGTTGCTTGCGTTGACTCTTGGTAGTCGTGGGATCAGGATTATCCTTGGTGAGATCGATCGACGAAGGACTGGTGTTCGATCGAGCTTTGGCCGAGAGGCCAACCTGACCTTGGGCAACTTCAGATGGGAGGAGCGAGCGACCTTTCATTGCGCCATCCTCGGCGGTTTTTGAAGGGTTTCGCTTGCTGATGTGCTTGGGAGTCGTGATGGCAGGATTGTCCTTTGTCAAAGCAATCGACGATTGAGTGGTCAAATTTGATCGGGTTTTTTCTCGAGACCTCCCTGACCTTGGTCAGCTACAGTCATGATCGAATTCGGGTCCTTCTCCGGCGGGTTGATGATGCTATCCTTCATATTGGCTTAAATTTAATTCCTGTTTCAACGACAACAACTGTTTTCCTGTACGTGCGAAACGCGTAGGACTGGTACAGTTTTGTTTTGGAGAAGTGTGTGGAAAAATATTTTCTACCTTTTAGTTTTTGATTTTTGATTTTTGAGTTTTATCCAAGCTTCTGGAATGAAATGTTCCGAAGACACGGTGAAATCAATTTGAGATGGAAAGTCGATCGACTTCAATGCAATTGCTCCAACATTGAATGCTCCAACTCAAACTGAAGCTGTTGCAAGAGAAACAGAGATGACTCAAAACAAGATTCTCTATTCTGCAAAGCTCGACGAGAACATGCGAAGATCAGCCTACTTTGAGACAAACAAGAGAACCGTCAAATCAGACATCATGCTAAAGTTTGTGACGAAGGCGATGGATATCAAGCTTCAAGGTGAAGCCGATTTCACGACTACTCTTGGCTTGAATTGATGATTCAATCACAAAAGTGAGTTCAACGATTTTCCCTTGGAAAATCCCTTGTTTACAGAACTCGATTCGACTTCTACGACAATTCTGTGTTGAATGCAGTACTTTGGGATATCTTGCATTATTCCCTACTGCATCGTACACAACATCAATATTCCACTTGTACAGGATCTTTTCCTGTTTGTGTGGATACAGATTGTCCAACAGACTTGCGTCCGGCATACTTGCGTCGAATCCCGACATCACGCACGATCAAAGTCGATCGCACGTGTCGAAAACCTTGTACTTGAATAGTTTCTTTTGGAACGTAAAAACTCATATTTCGTCATATCCCATCAGCTGGATCTTCAGACGAACTACTGCAGGGAAGTGGATTATTATCCAAAGACGGTCAGCAAAGCACAAGATATGTTAAAGATTCACATGGATGTGATTAAAAATCCGGGAATGAACCTTTACCAAGGAAGGGACCAACCTAATAAAGGTAAAGGTAAAGGAAAAGGAAAACCGAAGGATGGAAAGAAAAAGGCAGCATGTTATGTGTGTGACAAAGAGGATCATATGTCTCCAAAATACCCAGACAGACTGCTACCAGAGATTCAATGGAAACATCCGAAACACTATGTTGATTACGGGAAGAAGCTCAATCTTAATCAGATTGGAGCAACTGTCTCAACTACAGTTACAGTTCCTGGACCTTCTCCAGCGACAAGTGTGATCACAGGTGGAACATTGAGTGTTGCGGGAAGTGTTAACACACCTTTGCGACTTGCTGGTACTACAGGTAATCAAATGATCCAAGTTCCTACAGGTAATCAAATGATGCAAGTTCCTTCAGGAATGCAGCTCATGCAGATTCCAACTCAAGGTGGCGGCACTGTTACTGTCCCTTACTCTATGAATGCTAACGGTGAGATTGCGTTCAGTGGAATGCAACTCAGCCAACAAGGCTTCTGTGGTGCACAAGTGCGCCAAGGATTCGATGCAACTCAAGCTCGAACTCCGCAAGTTGTGAAGACTGGCTATTTTGATACGTCAAATGTCTTTCAGGATGCTATCAAGGGAAAGGATGAGAATGGCAATGATGTCTATCTTATTCCATGTCCTGCTGGAACGACTAACGTCGAACTTCAATCCGACTGGCACTACGCTAGTAAAAATGAAGACTTGCCTGATCTTGCTACTGAAGCTGATCGAGGTATGCAGTTTATTCAAAGCCGCAGAATCCGTTTGGTTTGCTCGATCACGTCATCATGGACAGTGGTTGCACCAATACCACCATTTGTAATGGTGAACTCATGCATGGACTACGTCAAGCTGAGAAAGAGCTCGATATGCACACTAACGTGGGCAGCAGAGTTCTCGATGAAGAAGGGTTTCTAGGAAGATTTCCGCCTCCAGCCTACTATGATGAAGACAGAATTGCCAATGTACTTGCTATGCGCGAGATGAATGCTAATGGTGAGATTACGTTCAGTGGAATGAAACTCAGCCAACAAGGCTTCTGTGGTGCACAAGTGCGCCAAGGATTCGATGCAACTCAAGCTCGAACTCCGCAAGTTGTGAAGACTGGCTATTTTGATACGTCAAATGTCTTTCAGGATGCTATCAAGGGAAAGGATGAGAATGGCAATGATGTCTATCTTATTCCATGTCCTGCTGGAACGACTAACGTCGAACTTCAATCCGACTGGCACTACGCTAGTGAAAATGAAGACTTGCCTGATCTTGCTACTGAAGCAGATCGAGGTATGCAGTTTATTCAATGCTCCAAGCACCAAAAGTTTGAAGTATGCGATCCGATCTGGTCTCATCAAGAACTGTCCTATCACTGAAGAAGCGATCAATCATGCCGAAGCAATCTTTGGACCTGACGCCTCTACATTGAAAGGCAAGTCAACAAGACCAACTCCCAAGAAGACGTACGACAACTTCTTCAGTCCACCAGAGGAATTGTATCAACATAATCGAACAATTACCGTCTGTATTGATCACATGGAGATCGAGAATGCTAAGTTTCTCACCTGCATTGATACCACTGTGCGTTATCGCTCATGTATTCCCGTGCCGAACCTGAAGAGTGACCCTGTATTTGAAGCATTGGATAAGATGTTCCGCCGCTACAACAAGGCAGGCTTTCAAGTCAAGACGATCAAGTGTGATCAGGCATTCATTCCTCTCACGGATGATATGCTAGATGATATGGGTGTTACTATCAATCCGACTGCAGCTGGAGACCACAAACCTACAGCTAGGCAAAGCAATCGAACGCTGAAAGAAAGAGTTAGAGTAGCCCTTGCACGATTACCCTACAAAGTGGTACCAAAGGTGATCACTGAATGTCTTGGACGTCGAGCCGCCGAGCTATTGAATGTCCTTCCCCAGAATACAGCATTTCCTCACATTTCAGTCCGCAGCAACTCATTGATAATGTCAATATCAACTACAAGAGTGACATGGTTGCTGAGCTTGGACAGTATGTTCATGCAATTGGGACGGATTCCAGCAATTCAATGGAACCACAAAGTATTGAAGCTATCTACATTGAACCTACAAAGGGACAACGTAATGGGCACCGAGTGCTGATTTCTCGACCCAAGGTTGTCGTACTACCCGTTACCGATCAAGTAATCCAGCGTGTTGAAGCTTGGGCTGCTGCCAAAGGTGTTACTTCCATGAAGTTCTTTGATAAGACGAGAGATTTGGAGACATTTCAAGATGGCGATCAAATCGCAGGAGTGGATGACACGGAACAAGGTTACTTAGAGGAAGCCTTCGATCAGGACTATGAACCTGAAGAAGAAGATGAACGTGATTTCAAC